TCCATTGTTACTAAATTTAAACTAAAATAATGCAAACTAAATCATACATCCATACGAACTATTATAGTCACTGTCATTTAGTAGAATATAACTTGGTTATTCAATGCAGCACTCAAATGTAGTCTTCAACTTAAAGATCGAGATTTCCCTGTTATAACGAATCATGCCTACGAATCAGCTACGTTGTACCTGTCTGGCATTAGCCAATGCCTGAACGGCTTTCAGATATTGATGATTTTGTATAAAGAACTCGGCAAACCGTTTCAAAATCGCTGGATCCATTTTATCGTTAACTTCGACCGCAATGAGATTCAAGGCACTCAGCTCGCCGGTACTGAACGCCAAGTCCAACGCCTTCGCAAACATGCCAGCCTTAACAATAAATTTAATTGTTAATTAACAAACCGTTAATCAGCAATTTTCTGAATATGAGGTGATCTAAAATTTTCAATACTTCATAATATATACCGTAACTTATAGGCATTTAGAGTTTCATAGCCAGTGGATGTGGTTCTAGAAGTATCGAGACAGATAAATCTATATACCGCAGATTTTAAAACTCCACGGAATTGTGGTGTTCTTAAATGACTTCGCCAATTTTCCAAGGTCATTGGAAACAGCGGAGCGCTGCTGTAATATTCTTTTGCTCCGTATGTTGGATTGTCAGAAGTAAGCAATTAGTCGGTGAAGCTTCTGCCATAATGAATTTCATACACTAGCATTTATTGTTAAGAAACAAATGCTTGTATTGGCGGAAATATCGCATTTTACCAGATATGAACTATGGGCAGATGAGTGTTCGCTTGTTAGAGCGCTCAGGGTAAAGATATTGCATGACCCAGTTATGAAGTAGTTTAAGCCGTTTTAGATTTTTGGATTCCAGTTTTGAGAAAAAGACTAAGATTCATAAGTTGGTCAGTGAAACTTACAACTATTTGCATAATATCACTCTGTTCAAATCAGATCAAGTACAGGCCAGGAAGGAGCCAAGACACGAAAAGGTGAATACTTCTTGCAAGTCAAAACCACGTGTTATGACTTGTATATGAACTAAATTTCTGTTTATGTCTCTTTAACGCTAAATATTAGACATAAGCGTTTATTTAAATAATGGTAAATATTACTACCTCAGGTTTGTTCTTTTTAACACAACGTTATCAGCATTATCAGCATACCGTTCCTCTGGAGACTCCGGACAGTAAACAATACGTAGTTAAAATTACTTTATGGTACAACATAACTGCCTGATCCACGTGAAGCCCCTCTTCTTCGTAAAATTTAGCGGCATCAATCATATCTTTTTTCGTACCAAGCATCGCAAGCTGTGTTATTTCGTCTACCATGCCAACCTCCTAAACAGCCATTAGTTTAAATTAACCAACTACGTGTTTCGGTTCAGACCTTGCAAATCCGTATTGCGTTACCGTATGATTCGGCCAACGTGTAAAACTTCAGTGAAGTTTCTTTTTGATTTGCATTTTCATAATATTGTGCAAGATAAAAGCAGGCTGCTTTATTCTTAGTATCCATAGCAACCTTCATTGCCTGTAACCGCAAACCGAAGTAAATTTTAGAAAACATTTTTACAACGACAAACTGTATCATGTTCTTCTATATGGCACAGAAGACGAACCACCGACTGCGTGTCTTCTACTTTTTGATAATACTTTTTTGCAGCTTTAATATCACCAAGACTTTCAAGGTATCTCGCCCACCAGTGAAGGAGGTTTCTGCAAATAAAATGTGCATATTCTGCTTCCTAATGGGAGTTTTTCAATATTATATGATTAATTATTTTGTACTCTGAAGAAGTCTTGGTCCGAAACCTCAGATGTCTTTAATTAAAGACTATTTTATGTGTTGTGTTCCCGTTTATGACTTACCTTAAGATTTTATCACCTCCCGCATAAAGAAATCATGTACGATTTTCAATGATTAATTATTTTTGAAATTGCTGTACATAGAAAACCAACACGTTGCTTTTAAAATTTCTGAGCTGTGGTTCGCCCTAAAAAACTTGAACTAGTTAAATGCAATTTTTTGTCAATTGCATTGTTATCAGTATTCTGTTATATTAAATTGATCATGAACTTTCTGTATCAGTCAGTTTCGATAATCGATTCTCTTTCCAGGTCCCGGAGGCAGCTATTTGTTTGTTGAGATTATCACCATGACCTGTTGGCCTAAGCAGATGCTTTGAGATTTCCGTTGGATCCGCAGTTTTTCAACATTCTTGTTCTGAGGTAACGGTTACTGCATCGTACAAGAAAATATCCCTGTCCAAGAGCAGATCTGCCTCTAGATTGTTCCTCCATGTGCATGCTGACCTCCTGGTCGACATCTACCGTGTTTCGGCTCTCACACGACAAGCTCACGGGCTAGAGTAAATGGTGTGTGCTCAACCAGTCTGTGTAACGTGCTCAACCTACTTTTCTTAATTTCTGCGTCTACCGATGTCACGTGTGCCTGGAAGAGAATCGCATCACTCGTTACGTGGTCCGCCACTTAACCGTCAATAGGCGTTTAACTCGAAGACAGCAGTGTCTCCAGTGTTTTCAATTCTGTGCCATGTTTCAGCTTCGGTAGAAGAAAACACGAGGTTCGAACGGAGTCAGTCCAGACACTTGCTC